CACAATGATTATGATAAAGATGGTTGGGATAATCGTGAAGAAATATGAAGTTATGAACACGATGATCTTTTTCCCATATGTCTAGGTACATGTCCTCCTTTAACCGCACACAATATCTCCAAAAGAATACAATGGTGAAAAAAAGCAGCGCCCTATGTCCAGCCTGGGTTTTGAATACGAGTAATAAAAATATTCACTTTTCCAGTTAGCAAAAACACTCCATACCATCTCGACAATAAAAATCATACCTCTAGTTTTCAATACTGAGAGCCACATACTTAACTTCATCCAAGTTATGTTATTTGCACATTGAATGGTGAATATGAAATCACGAAGTATGAAGAAAGACACAAAATAGTCATAGACAATGACTATCTCAAAGAGGATACAAACTTTAGTTTGTGAAAGTAAAGGTCTCTCTCCTCGAGTTTTGAAGGTTGCAATCTCCAGTCATATGGAACTGCAATGATTGCATTAGCTTCAACGCCAAATTCAATGCACCACTTCACCCACTCTTTCCACACTGATGAAAGGGGGCCTAAAGAAGAACGGAATTCAAATTTAATAAGAAACCATACAAAGGAGAATCGAATAGTTTATATACGCTTAACAACCCATTCTAGACATGATCTGTTGCTTCAGTTTCTCCATTGTACTGATATTTAAATGCTACTGAGTAGTTTATAACAAGAAAGTAAAAGGTAAAATGCACAGTGACATATACTCCGTATCTCTTTGTGTGTGTGAGTGACTTCATGCTTTGCAAAATCTAGTAACCGAGTACGTTCCAGTGTATATTTAAAGTATTGCATGTTTTTTCACCAAACATGGATAGGAACAAGAAAAATCATGAAAAGCTACCTGTTATATAGCCGGGATCAAGCTCGGATATAGCAGAGAGGCCACTATCGGGACGAGACTTGCACTCGGGGTGATCTGTTTGATTGTAAGGGTCTAATATCATGCATTTAAGCCAGCAATTCACAGCAGATAGAAGCTGAAAAGAGCAATAATCAGTTGTCAAACTTCTTAATCAATAAATGAGGCCCGAATCAACACCTTACAGATAGAAACTCTTAAGCAAATGATCTCAGAAATATACTAGAATAACATCATCAGTGTTTCATGGCTATAATTCTTAAAACACGATGTAAATCATTATTCATCAAACATATTTTCAGTTCACCAAACTTGACATCTGAAATTGGAATGGGAAAAATTCACAGTTCAATCGAAAGATAATCAACAAAACAAACAGAGAACGGAAAGCAAATGAAGCAATGAAATCACTTAAGCTTGGCAAGTATTTATGAGCTACGTACTAAGAAAAATAAGAGCAAACAAACGAGACAGAAAGGAGAAATGTCAGTAACTAAATCTGGAAGATAATCGGAACACTTGCAGCGAGAGCAATTAGGAAATGCGGATTACTTTGGTGGAGTCGAGCCAGACCAAATCGAGAGGGTTGAAATCGAGAGGCGAGTAAGGGCAGTCCAGTATTGACCAGGCTCTGAGCTGAGTTGACGCGAAGCCGGGGATGATGATCCCGGATAACTTTCGCGAGTCTCCGGTGAACTCGTCACCGCCGTTGACGGCCGATAAGACGAGGAAGAGAATGACCAGTCCGGCGAGTTCTCCTCTCATTGCGGAAATAGAAGTCGGTTTTTTTTACAGACGCCGCTAGTGCGTGCGCTTATAGCGCGGTCGTTGACGTGGAGTCCGGCCGCCAGGGCGCCAGGTAGGTGTCAGGTGTGCCTAACAAACGACCTTGTTTGGAGGCAAGCGAAGAAAAAGGGAAAAAAAGGTAAATTTAACAAATGGTACCTGAACTTTAGCTGGAATTTCGAAGTAGTACCTGAACTTCAAATCCTTTCACAAAAATCCCTGAACTTACACAATCCTTTCACTAATGAGTCATTAGCCCGTTTCTAGGTTAACTGCCGGTCATTAGGGCCAAATTCGAATTTTATATATTTTAAAATTTTCAATTTGACCCCATTTCTTCTTTTCTTTTCTTCCACGCCCCGCCGCCGCCGCCCGCCGGTCAAAGTCGCCGGAAAATGAACTTTTTCCGATTCTGGCGGGACCAATGTAATTCTCTTCGTCTTGAGACGAGGATCAATAATATCAAAACCATTTTGTCTAATTTGGCCTGTAACTTCTCGAATCTGAATTTTGCTACTCGAAAAAGCCCTAAAATTCGAAATTGGATCCAAAATTGGGGGTTTTGCAAATCTTCATCAAATCTTGCAATTGAGGGGTCCTTGGAGGTCGCCCGGATGCCACGACCGCATTGGCGTTGGTGCCCGCCGTCAATTTCGCCGGAGTTGGCCGGAAAAAGCTCCGACCCTAATGTCCTTATATATTTTAAAATATATAAAATTCGAATTTGGCCCTAATGACCGGCAGTTAACCTAGAAACGGGCTAATGGCTCATTAGTGAAAGGATTGTGTAAGTTCAGGGATTTTTGTGAAAGGATTTGAAGTTCAGGTACTACTTCGAAATTCCAGCTAAAGTTCAGGTACCATTTGTGAAATTTACCCGAAAAAAATGGAATTAAACTATGCAAATTGCAAAGTACACCAAAAATTTGGTACTCTATTTGTATATCAGACAAACATAGACACTGAGTGTTTATGATTCACAGATATTAAGTTTTTCTATTTTTCTGTATTTACCTAGTGTACAATAAAATACTCCATTTTGGTGTACTTCTAAATTTTCTTCTTACACTTTTGTAATCCAAAATTATATCTCACTTTATATTCTGAAGACATGTACTAATATTTTGTGTTACTGTAATGATTTACAATGACAGGAAATAGTATTTCAAATTTTTTGATTAAACTTATATTTTGTGCTAATGTAAACTGTTAAAATGTTGATGCATTTATTTAACGTACAATTTAGGATACATTTTCTGGTTTATCAATGAGACTGACCATCTAAATTAGTTTAGCCAATAAAAGTTGGTATACAATATTGGGGTATGTATCTAATTCTAATTCACACCAATAATCCATTTAGATTGACAAAACATTGATTTTAGCATTTTTAGAATTTTAGTTCTATATGTATCTAATTTTTTTTTAATCAGAAATACAATACTTGTTTTTGTACATTTGTAGATATATGTATCCTCATTATAATTATACAAATTGAGCATTACAAAATACTCTATTCCTTTTTTAAAAATATCTTATTTGATTTGACACCAGATTTAAGAGAAATGAAATTCTATGATTAAAAGTATTACAGAGAAAAAAAAGCTACTCAACCACAAAAAAATTGCTAGGAATGAAAAGATGAATCTTTTTTAGGACGTTTCAAAAAGAAAATGAAGAACTTTTTTTAAGACATAGAGAATATTTATAATGAACTATTCATTTTATACATGTACAAATACACAGTCTAAAATACATATCATCTTCATTCTTTTTTCCTCAGACTACAAGAGCCAGTCATTTTTGGGTTGTCGCAAGGAGTCGTCGCTGTAGAGGAGCAGTTGTTGATCAAATCGCCGTCCAGGGAGTTGCCGTAGAGGAGGCTTCATCGTAGCTATCGTCGCCTGGAGTCAGGTTACTAGTGCACAGAAGTCACTGTCATCGCTTTGTGTTAGGTCCCTGCCGCTTCCTTTTCTTCATCGCAGCTGGGGTGTCTGCTGTTCTTACTCTTTATTAGCGCAATAATTTAAGTGATTCGCTCTTTTTTAAGTGATTCGCAACTAAAAAAATGGCCAGATGTATTAAGTGATTTGCTTTTTTTTCTTTTATATGATTCTCAATTGTACTCCCTTCATCCCACAATAGTTTATACTCTTCACTATTCAAAAATCAGGAAATTTTTTGTTTATTTTTTATTTTCTTCAATAATTTAATAAAATATAATATTCTTATCTTTTTTTTGTAGAACTTTTGATTCACTTTTTAAATATGCAAGTTTTTTTATTTCTATACCCATCTTTAACTAATTGAACTGAAAATCTTAAAATTTTATTTCATTTTGCATAAAATATACTCATAATTTATTCAGGACAAAAGGAGTATAATATTACATTTTTTTAAACTTACACTATGTTTGGTTCAAGTAATTTGAAAGAAAACAAAAAAATGATATTCTCTTACTTTCTTCACCAAAATATAAGAAATTTTGTTTTTCTTCTTAGTATATTTTACCTTCTAATTTTCTTTTCCTTCTAACTTTTTTTCTTTTCCTCTCTAGCCAAACAAAAAAAAGGATTATGCTATGTGTACCCCAAGGTTTGTACCCCAATTTGTACCCCGCAGTTTTGCACCAACACTTTGTGATGGTGTAAAACTAATTTTTGTTAAACACACCAACATTTTTGTCCGTGTGAATTTTTATTAACGCACCAACACTTGTGTCGGTGTAAACCATCAAAATGTTTGTGCAAACCTGTGGTGTACAAATGGGGTATATTTTTTGGTGTAAGTGTAGCATGGTCCAAAAAAAATCTTGCTTTTTGAGAGAAAAGAAAAGCCGCCGGCTCTATGCATGTGTACTTGATACAATGATAAGACTCGGTCAAAAGCCATGTTAGGACTAGTTGATTTTTTTCCTAAAAGGAAAATAAGATGTAAATATTGTATTACCTTCGTTCTAGTGTGTTTGTCTAATATAACAATTTCAAGTTAAATAAGATAAACTTTAAGATTCAATTATTCTCAATTTTTAAAGCATATTAATACAATGATGCAAAATTTTGACTGTTCGCAACAAGATAAAACTAAGAAAATCATTGTTATACTAAAATACATTACAAATTTTATTTAGTTGAAGCTTAAAATTCATAATGTTTGACCCAAAAAAGTCAAACTTGACAAAGATTTTGGACAGAGAGAGTATCTTAGAAGAAAAAGACCATATAAATTTCACAATTGTGTGCCACTCACCAACTTGGCCACTTGACAAAAAAAAAGTCTTAAGCTTTGATAGAGTACGAAGAAATTAAACGCGTTGAATTGAATGAAGTCAACTGTCAAAGAACCAGATTTTATATCTATCTTTGTTCATGGCTAACTAATTGCCAACTTTTTAGGAGGGCATAATTCTTCTTTGATCCTCAAAGAGAAAAAGAAAAAAAACCATGAAAATATCCTATGGGAATTACGTGGCATTCTTCTTCCTCATGAGTTTCTTTGTACTGGAAACAAAAGCAGCATCAGCAAGAACAGAAGCTGAAGCTCTTGTCAAATGGAAGAACACTCTCTTCATCTCTTCCTCCCCTTCTTCATCTTCGTCGCTCAGTTCGTGGTCGCTGCCCGGCCTGAAAAACCTCTGCAAATGGTCTGGGATTGTCTGCAACAACAGGACAACTGTTTCCCAGATCAACCTTGCTAATGGAGGCCTCTCTGGCACTCTCGACCACCTCGATTTCCCTTCTTTTGCTTCCCTCGCGCATTTCAACATCTCCGGGAACAACTTCACCGGTTCAATCCCTCCCGCCATTGGAGATGCGCGGAGCTTGGTTTCATTGGACTTGAGCAGCAACATGCTTAGCGGAACCATACCGCCCCAAATTGGGAACTTGACAGGGCTTCAACACCTCACACTTTTCAACAACAATATCGCCGGCGTAGTTCCTTATCAGATTGGAAATCTTCAGAAGGTATAAATCAAGAAAAGTTAATACTTTGACTGCATTACCTCAAGAGCCAGCATCTTGTATGGCACCTTAAGTCATCCACTATCTGCAGAATATAAATATGAAAATATGAACTAATATAAAAGTAATTGAACTGCTAATAATATTCAGCTGCAATTGATGTTTACGTTCATTTTTACCTCAAGTAAGAGTATATAAACATTTCGTGGGCCTATAGTTACAAGCTTGAATTTTTAGTTAAGTTGTTATATTAAAGATATGGAGGTCATGAGTTCAAATATCACCGCCACCGAGGTTTAAAATGAAATGTTCACTTGTAATGCTAAAGCTTTTAGTTGAGTTGGTTCTTTAACATTCTCTTAAATCTGAACAGGCACGGTTCTTGGACTTGGGATCAAATTTCTTGGAGGCTCCAGACTGGTCTAACTTTAAGAGCTTTCCTGTACTGGGACATCTAAGTTTCAATCTCAATGAATTAAGGTCAGAGTTTCCTAGTTTCATACTAGGTTGCAGAAACCTGAGTTTTCTTGATCTGTCGATAAACCATTTGAATGGATCAATCCCAGAGTCATTGTTCTCCAGTTTGGGGGAGAATCTTGAGCATCTTGATCTTTCCAACAACAAATTTTCGGGCCATTTATCGTCGAACATTGGCAGACTATCCAAGCTGAAAAATCTGAACTTGTTGAACAATTCTTTTCAAGGAGAGATACCATCCTCTATAGGCCAACTCAAAGCTCTTCAAGTTTTGGACATTCGCATGAATCGTCTGGATTCAAAAATTCCTTCTGAGCTTGGTCTTTGTCCTAATCTCACTTACTTGGCCTTGGCAGCAAATTCGCTCTCGGGAGTCTTGCCTTCATCCTTGTCAGCTTTGACGAAGTTGACTGAGTTGGGGCTTTCAGATAACTTGCTTTCTGGTGAGATTCTCCCCTATTTTATCTCCAATTGGACGATGCTGACATCTTTACAGCTTCAGAACAATTCATTCAATGGTAGCATTCCATCAGAAATTGGTTTGCTCGCAAATCTTCAATACCTTTTGTTGTATAATAATCAATTCTCGGACCGCATTCCGCCACAGATAGGAGACTTGCAGGATTTGACGTATTTAGACCTGTCTCAAAATCATCTCTCAAGTTCAATACCTAAGACAATTGGAAACCTCACAAGCCTCACTTTCCTAAGCCTTTCCACTAACAAACTCACTGGAATACTTCCCTATGAGATTGGGAATTTGATATTAATCACTACTCTTGATGTGAGTGATAATGCATTGAGTGGAGAATTGCCTGAGAGCATTTCTGGCCTCAGTAAGTTACAGGTTCTTTCTCTGTTCTCTAATCGCTTCACAGGCCATGTTCCAAGGGACTTGGGCATAAATAGTCCCTTCTTGTCCAATGTTAGTTTTGCAAATAACAGCTTCTCTGGGGGACTACCACTTGGATTGTGTAGGGGTTTTGCTCTTCAAGAACTGACAGTGAATTGGAACCACTTCAGTGGACAGCTCCCTACTTGCTTGAAGAAATGCTCAAAACTTGCTAGAATAAGGCTGGATGGAAATGACTTCTCTGGGAACATTTCACAAGCATTTGGAGACCACCCGATTCTAGAATTCCTTTCTCTGAATAACAACCAGTTTAGTGGCGAAATCTCATCTCACTGGGGAGAATACAAGAAGCTCACTAATCTCGGAATGTCGGGGAATAGGATTTCTGGTTTCATCCCTCCAGAATTAGGGAAGCTCACTCAAATTCATGTCCTCACCCTAGATGCGAATGAATTGACTGGTGAGATTCCCTCAGAGCTAGGGAATCTACGTCAACTACTAACTCTCAACCTAAGCAATAATCATTTGACTGGGAAGTTTCTTGAGAATCTTGGAAATTTGACTAGCCTTCAGAATCTTGATCTCTCGAATAACGAACTGAATGGAGAAGTAACAGAAAGGATTGGGAATTTTGAGAGCCTATTGAGTTTGAATCTTAAAAACAACAATTTATCAGGTGAAATTCCACCTCAACTCGGGAACATACCAGGATTGAGTATCCTTTTGGACTTTAGTAATAATTCTCTTTCTGGTACAATTCCATCAAACTTGGGAAAGCTCATCTTACTTCAGACTCTGAACCTGTCACACAACCACCTCTCTGGAAGAATCCCTCCAGCTTTAACTGGTATGGTCAGTTTGCAAATAATGGACTTTTCATACAACACACTATCCGGTCCAATTCCAACAGAGGGGACATTTCGTGGTGTAAAAGCTCAAGCCTTTATTGGAAATTCAGGTCTATGCGGTAATGTAGATGAATTAACCCCATGCAACCAAGTAGCTGGAAAGAGGTCTAGACGAAATAAAAAGAAAGTGATTATTGCTATTCTTGTTCCTGGACTTCTAATTTTCTCATTGGCAATGGGATTTCTTATTCTTCTTTTTCAAAAAAAGAGAAAAGAGAAACATGATCGAGAAATGAGAATGCGAATTCGAATGGGCAAGAAGAAGTATAAGGCTTCTCAATCTCTGATATTGGAAAAAGAAGTGAAATTCACATTTGCGGATATCGTGAAAGCCACGGAAGGTTTCAGCGAGAAACACTGCATTGGAAGAGGAGGGATTGGGATAGTGTACAAAGCACACATTTCCACAGGACAAATCGTCGCTATTAAAAAAATCAACGCGTCAGACAGTAACGACACTCTATTGACAAATCAGCATAGTTTCGAGAATGAAATTAGAGCATTGACAGATGTAAGACACAGAAATATAATTAAACTCTATGGTTTCTGTTCCAAAGATAGTTGTATGTACCTGGTTTATGAGTACATAGAAAACGGAAGCTTGGGGAAATTTTTGAACGATGATGGATTGGCACAACAACTCACATGGGGGATTAGAGTGAGGATTGTTCAAGGAATAGCTCATGCACTTTCTTACCTGCACCACGACTGCTCTCCCCCCATTGTGCATCGTGATGTGTCAGCAAATAACATATTGCTTGAGACAGAATTTGAGCCGAAGCTAGCCGACTTTGGCACATCAAAACTGTTGAGTGCTGATTCATCCAACTGGACTTCCGTTGTAGGCTCTTATGGCTATATGGCTCCAGGTACGCTTTAGAACCAATTCCAATCATGTGATGTAACAACCTAAAAGTGGAAAATTGAATGTGAATGACCAAAACTTGGGACAGCTTAATAGGTGTAAGAGCAAACATGGAAATTTTTCTAAGCTTTGGCATCTGACTTTCATTTCTCTACTTCTAGTGCATCATGTATGAATATGGACTTCTTGCCAACTATTGTGTCAGGAAGAGCCAAAACTTACAAGAAATAAATAGTCGTATGTGCACAAGTAGAAAAAAATGAAAGTTGAATACCAAACATGGGAATGACTGAATAACCCAATAGAGGTGAGACCAAATGTGGAAAATTTTCAAGTTGCATAACATGAACATATTTGCTTGATGTGTAGAGCTAGCGTACACAATGAGGGTGACAGAGAAATCTGATGTTTACAGCTTCGGAGTGGTGGCATTGGAAGTTATGATGGGGAGGCATCCCGGGGAGTTGCTATCTTCACTATCAGAGGCTACTGAGTTGTCCAAAGAAACACTTTTGAAGGAGTTGCTTGACCAAAGACTCTCAACTCCCAGTGGGCATCTTGTAGAGGAAGTTATGGCTGTAGTCATCTTAGCATTGGTGTGCACACTTCGCATGCCCGAGACACGGCCCACCATGCGCTTTGTTGCACAAGAACTTTCTGCAAAATCTCAGTCATTATAATTCTATAACTATGGCCAGACAAACAAGTTCTCAAAAATAGGAGTATAGTTTGGACTATAACACCTGCAAAATTGAGTACAAATAATTTGTCCCATTGTATGGCACTATTAAGTAGCATAGCAAGAAATGGATACATTTTGCAGGAAATTTCCACGTGTATCCTTGAAAAAAAAATTCAATTTTGTGCAGTGTGCTGTTATCCATATATTGATTAAATTCTTTGGAGAAATGAGTCTCAAATTCCTTTCCTACTCAGCGCACAGACATCCTTTCTCAAAAACAGAAAGAAAAACTACATGAGCCAGAAGTTGATAGTGCATGTTACCCTCTGTCAACCCTGAACTTGTCTCTTACACAAATGCCCTTTGAAACAGTTTGCCCTTTTCTGAATACTAGGAAAGGGTAACTCAACCTGCAGGTCCTCTCCCCCCACCGCTCCATACTTATCGTAGCATATTCAAGATTTGAAACACTACCTTTAAAGATCTTCACCTACAGTGAATCCAAGATGCATGCATGATAAAAAAAAAAAGTGTGCTCCGCGAGCAATTCATCAGGATCCATTAAAAAACCGCAATAATACTCCTTGCGTCCCTTTTTTATCTTCATTCTTTTATTTTTGGTTTGTCCCAATTCCCGAAATTATCTTATTTACCCTTGTGGTTGATGTTGTTTCCTTCTCTTTGAACAAACCTCACTACCTCAGACAAAGTTTCCACTGAATGTCAAATTAGATATAAAAAGGGAATATGGGAGTTAAAAGCTTCTACAATTAGAGGTTTATTTTAATATGTTGACAGTGCCTATTTGGTTCCAATGCACTTACCCGTAGCTATGGAACTTGAAAATTTGTAGAGACGTGAAGCAACACGACATTAATTGGAACCACAAATATGATATATATAAAGGCACCAGACTCTGTCTACTGCATCACCTGAAGGACAATTTTTATCAAGCAGAAAGTCCATTAGATTGTGTATGTGTGGCGGTGTGTGTATGAAGATACAGCAAAAAAGCAAGCAGCACAATAAAACTAACATTTTATATGCTCCTTAGCATCATTGGCACAGCTACAAGAGCTGCAGCAAAGGTATATCATGAGAGGTGAGAACAGCCACAATCAAGTCAATAATAATAATAATAACAAGAATACTGTTTTTATTATTCTTATTATAAGCAAATGTAAGAAAATCTATAAGAACCTATTCACTGATGAGCCTCCTCTCAAGTGACTCTCTAGTTCCCTTAAATATGATCTAAACAGCTGAGACCTGCATGCCAGTGCTCCAAAAGTTGTTTACTGGGTTATTGTATAAATGAATAGGTTTGAATGTATGAAAAAAAACTGCAATACCAAGATGGAATTGAAAATGCTGCAAGTATAGGGGACAATTTCCACAATATAGGTAGCCTACTGCTTAGCCAGCTCTCCAGAAACCTTATAACACTTCTATCCTAGTTTGGAAGATGAAAGGAAATGAAGGTCATAATAGTATTCCTCCAAAGAAAGTTGCAGTAAAAAAAAGTCTTGAAAAAATTCAAGATGTTAACTTTTGAAATGGCATTCAACATTTAAAACACCAATGAAGATAGAGACATTGTAGTGCAAAGATTTCTTCATGAAAGGATCTAATTTTATAATGTTACTTTGAATAATCTAGAATGAGAGGTTAAAAAACTTAGAAGAGTACCTTTGAACTCATCATGCTATCATTGCAACAGATATTTTTACAACCTCCAGCCACTAAGTTAAACACCTCTTTGCATAGTTTTGATAAAATAACAGGTACATAAGGGGTCGACATAAAATGTTCGATCAAAATTTCCCATTTTCTTGCAGCACATCCAAGTAACAAAAGTTCCTGTTGGAAAATGCCCTCAGCATATCAAGAAATGTTCTCTTTCCCAAAAAAACACTTGTTTTCAAACATTTTTACCCAAAAATGTGTCCTGTTTGATTGATGGAAACTAAATTTTCATGTAATCATACGTATCTTACAGAAGAAGTGTAATAGTTGAAAAAATTAAAAATGTTTGTACTATTCATGATTTATAGAAGTTGTACATTACTAAATTTAGAGGTCGTACCTTAGTCAAACATAACTCTTTTTTGAGAATGTGTGTTTGAATTTCCAACCAGAAGATTAGATTATACAGTTAAGTCATACAAAAACCTTGCTTAATATTGAACAAAAACAAACATAAGATCCACAAAAGGTTTGAAAGAGTTACCACTGCTTCAGAGAAATTAGATCCATCATCAGCTGAAATTGATAGCCTCCCCAGCACTTGAGCACATTGGTCCTCGGGGGCTGAAAGGATAAGATTGGCACCTGCTAACAGCCTAATAGTTCTCTTGTCAAGAAAATAGGAGAGGTTTCTAGATCTTAGTTGATTCCAGGTAAGAGGATCAACTGCAATTTCGTCAGACCTAGGTCAAAATTGAAAAGTGATTATATGCATACCAGGAGGGGGGGGGGCTACTTGATGATCAAAACCTCTAATTTAACAACAACTAATGCAGATAATACAGTCCATACAGCTTTAATAGTTCTAACACATCTCCCTCAATACAGAAATATTTACACACCAACTATGTGCTAATTATATATAGTTTTCTCACCAGGAAAAGATAAAGGGACTCCTAAATTTACATAAACTATCAAGTAATATCTATACAAATAGATTACTTACAATGAAGATCCAATGTCTGCCACACCATCAATTAAGTTCTTGCCAGGCTCACTTATATTCAATTGGCATACACTTTTGAATAAAATATCCAAACACGCTTCTGCTGCAGAAAGTGATGACACTGCCAAATGTCTCCTTTCAATTTCACGTGCAGCGATGAAAGAGAAGCTGCAGGCAGCATTATTAGTTTCTGTACTTGCTGAGGCCTCTATGAAATGTGAGTGCGAACTGAAAGCAGATTCTGTTGGCTCATTTTGCAGCAAATTTTTACAGCGTTTCTCAAAGGAATCACTATTTCCCTTTAGAACCCTGTTAGAATCCATTTCAACAGCTGCTGTCAATAGAGCTCTGAGGTGTGAGTCCCTCAATGGTAAGGCATGAGTAAGACGTTCTAACATTAAACACCTTGCATTGTTAAGATTCTTGGATGATAGATGTTCTAGACCCTGTCAACAACAGAGATGTTTGAAGCCTTTCAATGGACAAGTTACCAGAATAGCATAAAGCGTCTAATATTGGAAGTTGTGGGGAATGGTAGAACTAAAGGCAGTTAACAAAATTAAAAGAACTTGGTAGTTATAGACCTAACCTTTGGGAAATGTGGGTTAGACTTCATCTCACATAAAGCTATATCAAGTTCGTCCAGAGAATCTGTGTAATCATCTTGACTACTCAAGCAACCAATCACCTAGAAATCATAAGTGCAACCACATTACATGTAAAATATTTCCCTACACTAAGGATCTTTTACATACGAAAATGCTCAGCATGTGGAAAAAGCTCCCTCAAGAAAAGGACATGTGCAAAACACTTTTCTGGAAAAAAAATCAGATTTTTTGATGAAAGAAATATAAAAACTCATTTTTTAGTTGTGTGGTTTGCAAAAAAAAATCACATTCAAATGGCATATGACAAATTCAGTAAAACAAGAAAACAAATTTAAACATGTAGCCTACAGACCTCAGTCAATAGCCAATGTGGCATAAACCTTGCTGCAATCTCACTTGAGGAATAAGCCTGTTGGCCACAAGAAACTGTTGGAGTTCAAAGATGCTGGGGCACTTAAGCCCACAAACACCAAGGCAGCTAAGTCCTCGAGTATTAAGACAAAAGAGCTCCCCCACTAATTAAGGCGAAACCATACTATCATAAGTGCTCTGATATCATTCAGTCTCATATTTCGGTGACAGCCATCTCTCTATGCCATGTTTGTCTTGGCAAGTCTAGGATGTTCAACACTACTTAAGCGTGATTTTTATGGATTTTTCCTTTCATTCAAGATTTAACTCGTCAGAAGGGACACCTTGAGGGCATATAAGGAATATTCAATATTTATGAATGATACACCACATGCTTTCTAAATCATGAGTATTATAATCCTCTTCCCTATTATATGAATTAGGAACTCAATTTCTTATATAAAGAGGCTGTGTATTCTACTTACATTCTCCAACTAGAATTTCATTCAAAAATCGAACCTTTAAGTCTAAGCTTGGAGAGTAAAATAAAAATCCAATAAAAACCATCAAATGAAACAATCAATTATTCATACAATGACAAAGTCCCAATGGTAAATTTATAGACTTCAAAAATAGGACATGCCAGACAAACATATATTTAGGTGGTACTTCAAAGAAATTTTGTGAATGTCGCAAAAAATGAAAAAAAGATAGAAAGAAAAAAACTCACATCCTCTATGAATAGAGCCCATTGGAGGGCTTTCTTGATGTTAGCCGAATCCCAGTAGGCAAGACGGCCAGATGATTGATACCCAGAAGCGATAATCATCATATCTACAAACCCTTTTATTGATTTCATGAAATCTTCTAGGGATATTGCTGGATAATTCCAACTCCCCATTTTCAAAATGACAAATTACAGGCAAGTTTAAGCTGCAGAGACAAAGAACAGAGAACTGCAATGGTGATTGATAAAAACTGAATGAAATTACGGGCTGATACAGAGATCGAAATAGCTCTAGCACTTGACTCAAACGAGTTTTTACTCGTCACTATTTGGACTTTTACAAGTAATAACCGGTCAGCAGAGCCCTTCTGTGTCACATGAAATTTTGATATCACGGGCCCTGTTAGGGGTGGGCAAGAGCCGGGTCGGGCCAATATTTTTCAAACCCGAACCCGACTTATTTTTATTGATACCGTTCGGGTTGAAGCGGGTCTTTCAAAATATAAAATTGGAAACAAACCTAACCCGGCTTGTTTGAAACGGGTCAATTCCACGGGTTAATGGGTCCGAACCTCATGATCAATTTCACTTGCTACCCCAACATTAAGAGTTTAAAATGTTAGTAGAAGTTAATAAACTAATAATGCATTAATGCCCATTTGCTACCCCAACATTAAGAGTTAAAAAATGTGAGTAGAAGCTAATAAACTAATAATGCATTAATGCCCATTTCCCACAACAACGCCAAAAAATTGTCACTGCCAAAATCTCAAATGGCCTAAACAGTTCCTAAAATCCCAAAAAAAAACTCAATAAAATAAAATAGGTGAAATGTTTCAGGCCATTAAACTGCTTCTGTGAGTACTCAAGTAAGAAAAAAACAGCAAAAAACATTTGAGCAAAGTGTCCAATAGATGGCCTCCAAAAACAAGTTAAGCAAAAAATCCGGAAATGCTTCTGTCGAGTAGATGCTTCTTCCCAAAACAAAGTAAGGGCTGTTCTTGAGGTGAGGGGCATTGTTGTTTTGCACTTTAAAGTTTAAATTTAGAAACAAATACGGAGTATAACACAAAGTGAGAATCACTATAAAGTATAATCAAATTAAAAATACTAAAACATTGAGATCAATTTCATAAAATCTATGAGGTGCAGATAGAAGATTGAAAATGAAGATGCAGGGGAATTTTTTTTATTAAAATCGAAGATGGGGATGGACGAAGATTGAAATAGAAGATTTGAAATTGTGAACATCTATGAGATGAGATGAGAAGCTTACCGGTGGACACGGCTCGCCGGATAATAAGAGAACGAAGATCACTCGCAGGAGAAGAGAACGGAGATCGCCGGATAAGAAGACTGTCGATATGAAGAATGCGGCTAGTAGTAACTGTTCCTACCCAATAACTAGTTTGTAAAATTAACTGTTTCTTCCCCGTCTAACCCTCCAGAAACCCCTTCACCCTGCCAGACTGCCCCTACTCGAACACGCCCGAGTCCCTTTAAATTGCACCCAATTAATTTTGATTTTGGAGTTAAAATTTGATTTCAAAGTCAAAATTAACATGGGATGCAATTGAAAGGGACGGGGGACTTATTTGGATCGGGGCAGTGTGAGCAGGTTTATCAGGAACTGTCAATTTTACGAACGGGGCACCGGAGCACCCCGGGTCGTCTCATGACATTGGAAACCAATATCATGTGAACCGGCCTCAAATTATAATTACAACAACATTAATATTAATAAATATAACAATAATAATGTTTTAAATATAATAATTTTCAAAATTATTATAAACACACACACACACATATATATACTTTTATGGGGGCAATACAATTATAAATATATTTAATAAGGTGTATTATTTATTTAAGTGAAATTCTCAAAAGAGTTCTTTCTAATAAAATGTTTTCCCAAATTAGTTTTTTTGTAATTGAGATGTATTTTCTAAATAGTTCTCAGTCAAAATGTATATTAAATGACAATTAAACGAATTGTATTTTTGTATTTACTATCACCTAAACTATAAATAAGTCTTCAAAATAGTTCTTTCAAATTAAGTGAATATTTGCTAGATGAATGGACCCATTCTGAGTTGAGTCCCTTTATTATTAGTTTGAAAAATGAATAGTTGGAGAACATGCTTTATTTATGAGTTTGAAAAAATACATGAATGAATATTTCGAGAACACACTTTAAGTCTAAATGAATATTGTGATTCTTATCATATTTTGTGTGCAGTTGGAGTAGGGGGTCTCTTGGAAACAGCCTCTCTACTTCTGAGTATGGGCAAGGTCTGCGTACACACACCCTCCCAAAACCCTACTGTAGTGGGATTGAACTGGGTTGTTGTTGTTGATTTTAAGTCTAAATGATAGAAAATATAAAAATATCTTGGAACTATTTAAGGAATAAATTTCAATTATTGCTTATTGAGGAATAATTTGAAAAAGTACTCCCTCCATCACAAAATATTTACAACATTTGCTTTTTCAGCAGTCGCGAAACTTTTGTTTATTTCTACGTTTTCATTGGTTATTTGATAAAATAAAATATTCTTGACACCTTATATTTCGAAGAACTTTTCATGTAGTTTTTGATATGTAAATTTTATTATTTATTTCTATACCAATATGTAAATAAAATGAATTGAAAAAATTTGATATTTTACCCCGAGAATACAAGTGTGACAAATATTTAGGGACGAAAGGACCGTTTTGAGAACTCACTCTATTTATAAATGTTGGGTCACTAGAAGTTATTATTCGATAATATTTTAAAAATGTTGAAAACAAATGTTGAAATTAATGTCGAAGAAATTAAGGCCCTTGGCTTCATTTGTGATCGTATTTGAATAACTTTCAATAGTACATATTAATTTTAAAAGTTATCCTCTATGAGTTCTTCCTCTTGTCTATTCAAGCCAGATTTTTGGGAACCAGAATCATCAAAGTCTACTTTCCGACTTTTCGTGGTAGACGAGGAGGCGTTGGGGAGTTGTGGTCCACTGGTCCACTTGGTGTTGATGCGGGAGGGGTTCCCTCATCCGAACTAGACACCATCTTTTTGGTAGGTGGCGACATGGTGGCGGCAGAGGCGAGGGATCAACGACAGTGAATCTTGGTGACAACGATGGTGGCGGCGTCTCAACGAGGAGAGAAAGGAGAGGGGAAAAGAGAGACATCGACTGAGTTGGGGAGGATGAAGGAAAGGAAGACAAAAGAAAAAAAGGGGGAAAAAGAAAAAAAACTATCAAAATCTTATAAAATCTTGTTGTTAAAAAATCTAACTATGTGTAGACTTAAAATAATCCATTGAATTTACAAAATCCATGGATTCTAAATAATATATAAAAAAAAATTTAAAATTTAGATTGAATATACCCCACTTAATGTCAATTTGCGAAAACTTCATGTTTTATATACTTGTAAAAACTTCATGTTTAATATTAGAGGGTTTCTAAATCTATCTTAAAAATTATTATCCCTATTTCAATGGTTTCATAAAACAGTTCTTATTTTGATTTTTATGAGAAATAAAGAGTGTATATTTGTAATTAACTTACAATTTTATCATTGATATGATGTGTTAAATTGAGATGCAATGAATTATTAGTAAAAAAGTATGATCTGATAAATAAGATAAGAAAAAATAAGAGTAAAAGTAATTTTCAATAGAAAATGGAAGTGTTTTGGGAAAAACAAATAAAATGAAATTAGAAGTGCTAATAGGTGCAAATTTAGGGAGTAATGTCAGACTTTTACTTAAGTTCGCTAATTTCACAGTTAAGGCTAATAGGTGCAAATTTAGCAAATACGGAGTATTCCGTATGAAATACTATATAAAAAAATATTGTTTAATTTAAATATCGACATTTTTTAAATTTACTAAATTAATACCTATTAATATAATTTTGACATTGACATGGATTTAGTGAATTTGATTGAAAAGAATAGATATAATCATTTTTAAAGTAGATTTAGCAACACACATGTAAAAAGTGAATAAACCATTTTTGGGAATCACCTTTTTTCGTTTTGATTCCTTGCAAAAGTGTTAAAATGGGTGAATTCAAATAGGGAAATTTTTACTGGGCACTCTTACAGTCTTACGATTTTTTGTAACTTTGCCACTACGCCGCAATCCCTCAGCCCACTGTGGATTTTTAGATCTATCCATTTCGTCTCTCTCCACTCTCGACTCTATATTTATATTCATATCAAAGATTTGCAGACTGTGTAACTTCGGGTTGAGGAAATTTCGTCTTCTTTGAGTAATACCATAAGGAAAGTCGATCAGTGGAGCGTATAAATTTGGCGTTTTTGAAGAAAAAGAATAAATATACAGTATTTTTGGGAAAAAACCCAGAATTTGTCGGGCGTAGAAATCTTGTGATCTAGGGTTTCTGGGATAGACTGCCGGGAGTGGAGAAATGGATAGCTCGCACGGTGCTGCGTTGAGCGCATCTCAGGTATGGGAGATCAGCCGATTCAGTTCGTTCCTCTGTTTCTTGATTTGTTTGCTTGCTTTTTCTCTTTGGATTGGCCGCGTTTTTTATTTATGATCGGATTCTATCCCGGAATAGGTTGGTTCGTACTTTGTGCAACAATATTATGAAGGGCTTCAGCAGCGACCTGAGTGTGTTCATCTCTTCTATTCTGGTGCGAGCTCTATCGTTAGAGTTGATGGGGAGTCCAGTCAGTCTGCTTCCACACTCATGGTAAACAAAAAAGAAAGACTTTTATCTGTTTAGTACCATTGCAATTGAATCAAGAATTTGTTTCTTGAATACGTATGCCCGCTGGATTGTTTCTTGATATGGTGATTTTGATATCCTCTTGATAATTTTCGTTGGATCTGTTTGTGTGCTTTGGGTTAGACTTGAATTCATTTCCCCAACATCAACTTCACTTTGTAGACAAAGCAGTATGTAAAAGTGCAGTGTGTGTTGAGGATTGGAATTGTTTAATCATGCGGCTGTTTATGGTCTTGGCATTCTGTGTGCCGAGATTGCTTCTTCTCGGCATAGATTGTCTCATGATCTTGTGCAGGCTTCAACATAACATGCGTGTTCATCTCTGCGGGTGTTTTTTTGCAGGACATACAGTCACTAATCCTGTCAGCAACTTTCTCAGGGATCAAGGTTAAGACAATAAATTCGCTCGAGTCTTGGAAGGGAGGTGTTCTTGTTGTGGTTTCTGGGACTGTGAGGCTCAAGGATTTCGGCAGGTGGAGGGAATTCGTGCAGACATTTTTCCTTGCTCCTCAGGATAATGGGTACTTTGTTCTTAATGATGTCATAAATTTTGGCGATGAGGAGGTGAAAAACCAACCACCACCTGTTGCTGTTGCCGATAACCATTTTGGTGCTCAGCCAACTGCACACAGTCCTCATGCGGAAGCACCGGGTAACTTTTGTTCTATTATTCCAGATGACTATATTTTGACCTTACGGTTGTTTTGAAATAGTATCTTGAATATAGTTAAGTATTTCTCTGTATTATAGGTTCTGTTGCTGTATATTATCGTATGCGCCTTTGCGGGGCTTAACCTTACATATCTTTCTGTTTTTTCTTGGCAGCCTCAGACTACACATTGGAGGAGCAGGCAAGGGAATATATGAACATGGTCAATCTAGAAGGGAACAATTCTGTGGGTGAATATGATTATTCCGAGTATCAGCAAGATTTGCAAGAACCTGTCTATGAGGCAGAAAGAGTGAACGAGGAGCAGCCTCCCTTGGAAGAAGAGTCATATGAGTTGCAAAACAATGTGGAAGCTTCTGAGGTTCCGGAACCATCTTGGGAAGAACCTGTTGTAGAGACATCTAAGCTTAGTTATGCTTCCATAGTACGTATTCTTGCAGTTCTAGCGTTCCTACACAATATGCATTTTACTATTCATCAAGCATCATTTATCATTACACACTTTGGAAGAAAATTGGAATTTATTGCATCAATTGATCCATGTGTGCTGAATGTTTTCTATGGATATTTTTATCTGAAAAACCTTCTTCATACCAATTGACAATTTTTTATGGCATACAGGTGCGTGCAGCAAAAGGAAAGTCTCCGCCTTCTGTCAGTGTGCAGCCAACTTTCGCCAAGAGCACGCCACCTCCTTCGGAATGGCAGCAGTCAGTCATTCAACAGTCAAATGCCATCTCAGCTGTTTCATACGATAACAGTCATGAACATGCTGATGAAGGCTTTTATCAAGAAGGTGAACACTGGTCTTGTTCGTATTAGTGTACACCAGATACAATTTCTGGTGAAATGTGATTTTTTCTTTTCATTTGCAATTGACAGTGACACAGTGTTCAAGTTCCTAATGATGATGTAACAACTCATTTTTATGTGACAGGGGAACCATTGTCTGTGTACGTTAGGAACTTATCAACTACTGTATCAACTCAAGATCTTTTTAGAGAGTTTCAGAACTTTGGAACAATCAAGCAAGATGGAGTGTTCTTGAGAAACCGCAAGGTTGGTTATTTCTCTTTTGTTGATTTTGTGCCTCAATGAAATGGATACATGCTGATATAGGAATTGTAATTGATGCACAGGAAGTCGGTGTCTGCTATGCCTTTGTTGAATTTGAAAATATCCAGGGTGTTCAGAATGCTCTCAAGGTTCGATATCTATCCAAATTGAGTTTTCATCATCATCACCATCATCCATCAACCATCATCATCATCATCATATGTATGTACATCTTTAGTGACATCATGTCTTTTTTTTCTTAGGCTTCTCCTATACAATTAGATGGAAGGCCAGTCTTCATTGAGGAGAGGAGACAAAACAACAACAACATGGCTGCGCGTGGAGGACGTATGTTCTTCAAAACTTTGACTGATTCTAGCTTGTCCATTTGCTTCGTCTTCTTTTCCACGTTTTTGTTTTGCGACTCGTTCTTTGATACTCGTATTTTGTTTTGGAAACTTGTTTATGTACACCTTGCATTTAAACCACTGAGTTTGGGAATTTGACTTGATCAGGAGGAAGGGGTGGAAGGGGTAGAGGTCGATCTGGGGGACGCGCATTTGGAAGGGGAACTTATCAAGACAATGCTGATTATAACAGGGGGAAGAGTAACGGCTTTCGTGCGGTTTAAGATCTCTGGTCTGCCAGTGTGGCAGAGAGCAATTGCAGCTGGGTGTTTTTTGTCTTTTCAGTGGTACTTGGTCGTGTAACTCGTTTTGAGGGTTTTGATTTTTGAATGTTCGGGGTGAGATGTTAGGGTTTTGTTTCCCTTTTTTTATAACGCGCAAACATAAAAACCAACTTGTGTGCTACATTGATGTTTTGCATTGGGTTAAAGAATTTTTGACATTGCTTTTTTGGTGCTTGCATTCTCAATGTTTTGTCCCCATTTCCCCTTCCATTCAAGAATGACCCTAGAACACATCTTTTCTAGTTTCCAAACCATCTTTGTCTGTTTTGTTTGTTCATCGTTCCTCTAATGTTGTTTACACCCTCGCACGATGGGGTGGGTTGCACTACGGTGTTTGGGATTCGATCCCTCTTGACTGATTTCATTGTTCATCTTTTAATGAATATTTCCAATTTGGTTTTGTCGAGTCATACTGGATAAATTTTGAGTTTTAGTTATTCTTAATTTGTATTGTATATTGATACAATGAAATATTCTGAAATTTTGAAAGATTTCAACAAATAAATTTAGTAAAATGATTTTTACACTAATGTACTTATACATTGCAATGTTTATTTAGAGCTCAGTTTATCATGTTTGATTAAAAAATGAAATTGGATAAATATACTGCGACGAATAGAGTAAATTTCATGCCATTTTTCCTCCAAAAAGACCAAGAAAAATCTATTTCTATTTTGTGTAAATGAAACTGAACTGAAGACAAGTGAAAACAAAAAAAACATGTTCATAATACTAGACAAAGAACCTATGCACAAAAACTCATGGAGGTAGAGTTTCTTGCCCTCCTAAGAATCTTTTATTCATAATTTTCTTTTTTTAAAAAAATGATGAATTTTCCTGGTGTGGTTCAATCCCCCCATTAACAAGCAGCTGCAGATGGCACTGGTCCTGGTTGTATGGTGGTCATCACCTGATGGGCTTTATTACTTGCCTCATCTTCTTCATCTTCATCATCATCATCAACCTCCCATAAGAACTTGGCAAATGCAGCATGAACATGGCTGCAAAACGCGTTTTCGTCTTATTTAGATAGATTTCTTAAATGCCTATTCCCGATTCGTGGAATTTACAAAAGAAACAGAACAAAAAGTTAGTAAAGTTTTTTTTCTTCTGGTATGGGGTAGAAAAGCAGAACCTGTCATGGGAAGAAGCCTGAACAGCACACTGGAAATAGGTGGTGGCTCTTTGAGCATCATGGTGAAGCTCCCAAACCAGCTTTGCATACTGTGAAAGAACTTCACCATCACTTGGATCTGCCAAAATTGCCCTTGAGTAATATTCTTCTGCTCTTTTTGCATCTCCTTTTGTCTGTTTTACAAAAACATTTACCAAGGATACATTTGGAAAGAAGAAAAAAAATAAATAATAAACTTTGTTCAAAGTAAATATATCTGTTTCTCATACCTAAATGTTAAATGTTAACCGGTTAATGATAAGGGTAATTTAAGCAAATGAGACTTAAACATATCACATTATCCCATCTACTCTAACGTTTGATTATGGAAAGTTCTAAAATGTCGAGCTTTTGAGAAAAATGACATATTACATAATTGAAGTAGAACAAGACATTATTAAAAACAATTAGAATAGTCATTGAAATAATCACTAACATTTGTTGCTAATGACCATTTTTCGCAAAGTCATTTATATAATCAGTCATTATCCAACACTTATTGCTAATGAGGACATATATATCATTAGAAATTATATGTCATAGAGGAAATAAAAATATGGGTCATATTTGGGAAAACATTTTAGTCCTATTTAGAACAAATTTTTCTAGTAAAGATATTAATATTAGAGTGAATTCAATCTTTTAAGACTCACCTGATACAAGAATTGGGCATAATTCCTCAAGAACAAAGGGTTGCTGGGATTTTCCTCCAACATCTTCTTGTAATGATCCTCCATGTTGAATCCATGGCTGTCACCTCCTCCGCTGTAAAAGTCCACCGGTCTATATCCGCCGCCGCCGCCGCAGTCCGAGCCGGCGTCCCCGGCTCCGTTTACCGTCACAAGGCACATCTCCGTTCCCGCCCCGTCAATTTCTTCTTCTTCTTCTTCTTCTTCTTCGCTCTCTGCGAGTCCATATCCAGCTCTCGAGCCGCGGTAGGAGAAAGACGGGATGGTTTCGAGGCCGCCATTGACGGGGAGAGCGAGCTTGAGCTCGCGGTCGGGGAACTCCAGAACTTCCAAGTTCCCCTCCGACAGGACTTTTCTGAACCCTTTGCCGGAAACCTCGGACACTGAAGGGGAGCTTGGGGAAGAATTGCAGGAAATCTTGCGGGGCCCGAAGAAGAATTTCTTGAACTTGGGATGGTGGGTCGGCGTCGCGAGCTCCGACGGGTGGTGGTGGTGGTTGTGGTGGTGGCCGGAGGTATCTGGAATCAGGGATCCAAGAACAGGGGTGGAGGAGCTTCTTAGCAGCATCTTTTTCTTCTACTTTTGGTAAAAAGCTGTTATCTTTGAATCAAGAATCAGCAAGAAAGAGAAGACGAGCTTCAATGAATCAAGAATTGGGCAGGGAGTATTTAATTTATTTACAAATTTATGATGGGCAGACAGACAAGGAATTGATGGAGAGTATATGCATGTGAATCAATGAATTTGGACGGTGGAGAATGGAGCAAAAAATCATTTAGGAGAGAGAGAAAGAAATGCATAAAATTCAGTGGGCATGAAAGGACAAATATGTTGAATGGAACAAAGTTCTTGTTTTGATTAAAATATTCAATTTTTTAATTGGAACAATACAAATATTTGAGATCATGTTATAAAATTGAACATCAATGTTTATACATACACAAGATATATTTGTTTGTATATTATGTTTGTTCACATGCGATTATATCACACGTGTACAAATTTATAGAGGATTGTTATTCGTAATTCCAAAATTAAAATCATTCCCGCATGGCCTTAATTTCATACACTACTTTCTCTCATAGCGGACAACAGCTTGCAATACAACTTAAGCTTTTCGTTTGGAGGCATCTAGCATGACCCATATCCAATAAAGAAAGACAAGCATTCGATTAGAACTGACAAGAAAATCACTCATGGTAAATTAAATGTTAATTGTAAACTATCCCAAATAGATTATAATAGAATTTACATATGATACTTGTAGAGACAACTATGTTTATTATAAGGATACTTGCAAAAGCATGTTTAACATACTTACACATTTCTACTATGTTTGGAGAATCAATGAATTAATACAAGCCATCGTATTAAAAAAGAATAATCAGAAGATTTTATAGACATTGGAATCCATGTCATTCTTTGACATGGGTCCTAATTGAACCATGATATTATTTTGCTTGTAAAATTGCCCAATTGTATCCCTAAATTTTTGGAAAACCTCTAACCTAATTCCGACCCGAATTTTATCTTTCAATTTCATTCTTAGATTTTAGTTGATTATGAAGTTAAAGGGTCTGTTTGGAATAACGTTAAAGATTAACGTTAGTTATTTGGGTAAAATTTTAACAGTGCAAATTACTTTAAAAACGTTAATGCTAAACACGGTTTGGGATAACTTTTTCAAAATAGAGAGTACTTTGCTAAGGCGAACAGTGCCCAAGAAAAAAATTGCCACATTAGTCTAAAGCTCACCTTGTTCCGACTCTTTTTCCGGCGACGTTGCTTGATTCTGTCTTTATATTCCACGAGGACGAAAGAAAAGAATTTATCCGATCGGAAGAGAAAATGCGTAAAAGCCCCGGCCCGAGGGCTTTCGCGATTACCCAATTGTCAGATGAATTTCTTGAGAATTCTTAGGTCAGTAATCTCCGGAGGAGCGAAGATAATGTTGGGCTGCAAATGGTTGCCATGGACCCGAGTCGCCGGCTTCTTGGATCAGCAACCGCAGACGTTCTCGTTGCCGGCGCCGATTCCTCAGTGGCCCCAAGGTATGCTCATCCAACATTTACCTCCTCTTTTTTTTTGTTTAATTTTGACCTCAAAGTTCGATTCCTACAATGCTAATGAAGCTTTGATCTTCTAGATGCTCTTGTTAGGGTTTTTGTTAAATTTCAGACTGATTAGCTAAGCTCAGAGAAGAAATCTCTGTCATAAACAGAGAATTATTCTTTTTGGTTCGCAAATAACTGATCATTTCTCACATGTTTTCGATAAATGTTGTCACTTTGTATGTCATCAATGGGCTTATAATGAGTATTCTGCTCATGTTAGTGTGTGTTTGTCTCGGTTTAAGGAGGAAAAAAAAGAACTATTTCCTTGAGTACTTTTCCAGTTCTTGATTTGCCACGAAGTTCATAGTGTTAAAAGCCATTTGCCAAAGCTGATCATATTGGAATGGTTAGTGTTACTGTTGGTATGAGATAAAAAATTAGCAGACTTTTGTGGTAGACTTTTCTGGCATATTCTGGTTATTCTGCTTATCAGCTAAGTAGCTTTTGACCCAGTAATTTGGTTGATATGGATGCCATCTGAGTGCTATTCCTTTCAGAAAGTTCAGTACATTCAACCATTTCATCCAAATAGCCATTGCCAAACAGGCCCTGGTAGATTTTAAATGCCAAACTTGAAAATTGAGATTGACGGATGCCATTTCCATATTTCTATATTTTGTATCGTATTGCAGTTCAGTTATATAAACCTTTCCCCTGATCAACTTGTAGGTTTGTGGTAATAATGAAATGATAAATGAATGATCAGGCACAGGATTTGGCACTGGGACAATTAGATTAGGTGAGCTAGAGGTTTGTGAGATTGTGAACTTTGAGTTAATTTGGGGAAGCAACTTGTCATCTTATGGTGGTGGTAGGCAAGGTGTTAGCTTCTATAAACCAACTTGTTTGCCCCAAGGATTTTTCAACCTTGGGTATTATGCACAACCCGACTCAAAACCTTTAAGAGGTTTTGTTCTAGCAGCCCGTGAAGTTTCCAACCCAAATAATGTGAAATGTCTTCCCGCTCTCCGAAATCCTGAGGAATATACATTAGTTTGGTGCTCAAATGATGGGAACGAGTATGATTTTGATGGACCATCGGGTTTCTTCTGGCTACCACAGCCACCCGAAGGCTATAAATCTTTGGGCTTTGTGGTGACCAACAAACCCGCCAAGCCCGAACTAAGTGAAGTCAAATGCGTCCGAAATGACCTCACGGATCTGTGTGAAACCCACCGGGTGATGCTAAAAACGTACTCAAAATTTTCTCAAACACCTATTTTGGTCTGGACCATGAGACCTTGTCACAGAGGAATGCATGGTAGAGGTGTTTCGGTTGGTACATTTTTTTGCAGTGAGTATTTGTCCTCAAGAGAAGAGTTAGGGATTGTTTGCTTGAAGAATTATGACCCCAATCTTCACTCAATGCCTAATCTTGATCAGATACATTCACTCATTAAGCACTATGGTCCAACCGTCTTCTTCCACCCGGATGAGGTATATCTCCCATCTTCTGTTTCCTGGTTCTTTGAAAATGGAGCATTGCTGTTCAAGAAAGGTGATGCAAGAGGTGAGACCATTGAGCCCGAAGGCTCCAATTTGCCAGCTGGAGGTACAAACGACGGGGAATATTGGATCGATTTGCCTAATGACAGCCGTAGAGGTACAAATTGAACCATTCTTGTACTCGACCAATATACATGAATGTTGTGTTTATGTACTTATTGTGTTTTGTATGCCTTGTATGTTTGATGTTCTCTACTTGTAGTTTTTTTGTTCTCTACTTGTAGTTTTTTTCTTTCTTCGCTCTCCTCAATTTGTTCTATGCTTCTAATGTGTTTTGTGATTTATCTGTGCTCTCTCTACTTTATACATCTCTTGCGATCTTTTTTATCTTTGTAGCTTGAGCCGGGGGTCTCTTTGGAAACAATCTCTCTACTTTCGAGTAGGGATAAGGTCTGCGTACGCATGCCCTCCCCAGACTCTGCTCTCGTGGGACAAAACTGGGTTGTTGTTTTTATTCATTTAATGTACTTATTTAGGCCTTGTTTGGTAGCATTAATCAGCTTTCTTTTCTTAAGGAGTCCGTTTTACCAAACGGGTGTCCTTTCAGAAAATCCAGCAGATTCAGCCACCATATCACCCAACTAACTACCCCTCTTGCCAAACATGCCCACACTCTTGTTAACTTTTAGGAAGTCATCCAAAATAGGAGTAAAAATAACCCTTGTTTGCAAAATAGGAATGACATGTTGATATCCTCAAAATAGGAGTTTGCCCTGTGACAATGTATATTGGCATTCCGCGTCCTCTTTTGGTATTAGATGCTAACATTATACTGGCATTAGCTCTTATCTCGGGAATAAAAATATGAAACTCTTATTTTTGATTCCCTTTTAACAGGTAGAGTCAAGCATGGTGACATAGGGAGTGCAAAACTTTACGTTCATGTAAAGCCAGCCTTGGGTGGCACATCCACAGACATAGCAATGTGGGTATTTTGTCCCTTCAATGGGGCAGCTACCCTAAAGGTCGGGGTACTAAGCTTCGGTATGGGCAAAGTTGGTCAGCATGTTGGCGATTGGGAGCACTTCACGCTGAGGCTAAGCAATTTTACGGGAGAGCTGCAGAGCATATACTTCTCGCAGCATAGCGGGGGCAAATGGGTAAATGCACATGATCTAGAGTTTATAGAAGGGAACAAAGCCGTTGTATACTCGTCGAAACACGGACACGCCAGCTACCCCCATCGGGGCATCTACATCCAGGGGTCCTCGGCACTCGGGATCGGAATCAGGAACGATGCTGCCTGCAGTAACTACCGTGTGGACTCGAGCGTCCGCTATGAAGTTGTTGCGGCGGAGTATCTCGGGGACGGTGTCGTGAAGGAGCCGGGTTGGCTGCAGTACATGAGGGAGTGGGGCCCGACCATTGTGTACGACTCGAGGAACGAGGTGAACAGAATCGTCCGCCGTCTGCCCGCGTCACTTCGGTGCTCGGTGCAGAATGTCGTCAACATGCTGCCCGTCGAGTTGGGCGGGGAAGCGGGGCCCACCGGGCCGAAGGAGAAGAACAATTGGGTGGGAGATGAGAGATGGTGACTCTCATATAGTGTGTGTGTGTGTGTGTGTAGCTCTTCTCCACTGCATCTCCATGCATATATCTTCCATGTTAGGTTAGCCAACTTACAGAGTACAAATTTTGGTGTAAATTATTCCTCATTTTAGGGCAGTGTTAAGACACCTCAAGTGTGATCACGAGTATATCTAACAATTTCATGGTAAAGAATTTCATTGTTTACCCCACATTAAGGTACTCAGTCATATTTGGAGCCCTTAAAAAGGTCGATTTGATTGGATTGGATTGGATTCCATTTTGGATCCCTGGAGTTCGGACTTTGGACGTTCATTTCTAAACTACTCCGTATTTAAATTCATATTTGCACATTATTTTACATATAAGTGTAGTTAATCGTATCAAATTACATGATTATGTTATTTTTTATTTTGTGTAATTTTTTATATACTTCATAGTTTTTAGATATATATTTGGAGTATATATTTTTTTAAAAAATTCTACATTTATATTCAAATAAATTAAATTAAAAATATCTTCAGACACACCTGGTGAACTCAAATAGAAAGAAGTTTTTAGAACTAAAGGAATACTAAAAAATATCTAGAAATAAAAATTGAACTCCTCCGTCCAAAATTTAACTTTTCATTTGTATTTCCACAAAGGTAAATTCTTTCGTGGACCTAAGGTCTATAATAAGATAGTATTTTTAAAATGTTAACACTAATCTCTGATGCTAATGTCAAACGGGGCCGAACAAAGTATGGGTGTGGGTGCGTTTATTTTTAAGAGGAATGCTAGGAGTACACCAAAGGTGTACCCCAAATGTACATCACCCCCTTCTCTACCACCCATTTTTATTTCATATTTATTTCATTATTTTTTGGAAAAATTAACCAAAATAATCCCAACTTTACCCGGTCTTTCAAAAATAATCATACCTTTCACTGTGATGCATAATAATCCCAACTTTACCGAAATTTGTCAGTTTTGGGTCGTCGTTAAGTTTCTAACGGAGGGTTAACGAAAATGCCCGTTTTAGGCAACAAAATGAAAGTTGGGATTATTTTTGATGAATTTTCATTTTTTTAAAAAAAAAAATTCATTTAATTTTTTAAAATTACTTTCTACCTCCATCATCATTTCTTTTTCCTTTTTTAAAGATTAGTCTTAGTTTAAAAAATAAAAATAATAGATATAAAAAATGAAAAAATGAGAAATGTAACTAAAATGATACAAAAATAATAAAATAAATAAGGTAATCAATGGAAACTAACTTGAAATTGGTAAAAGTAAAATAAAAATATATGGGTGGGTTTTAATATTTTACGTATTATACAAAGTATTAACATATCACTTTTTTTTTAGAAAAAATTATCTACAATAATTCCAACTTTACCGGACGACTTGTTCTTTTAAAAAATAAGTTGTACATTAAGACTCCGTATAGTGTGTAAAATGTTAAAACCCACCGCTCTGTATATATTTATTTTATTTCTTACCAGTTTCTGTTTAATCTCTATTGATTACATTATTTATTTGATTAATTTTGTATGGTTTAGTTATTTTTCTCATTTTCATTATTTTTATATATCTATTTTTTTCTAAGGTAAGAATAATTTTTAAAAAAGAAAAAGAAATGGAGGTTGAAAGTAATTCAAAAAATTTAAATAAAAATTTCAAAAAAAACTAAAAAACAAAAATTTATCAAAAATAATCCAAACTTTCATTTTGTTTCCTAAAACAGGCATTTCCGTTAACCATCCGTTAGAAACTTAACGGCGACCCAAAACTTGCAAATTTTAATAAAGTTGGGATTATTATGCATCACAGTGAAAGGTGAGATTATTTTTGAAAAACGGGGTAAAGTTGGAATTATTTTGGGTAATTTTTCCTTATTTTTTTTAAATTTTTTTGGTCATTTATGTAGACAAGAAGGGAGCGAAGGACATATGGGGTACACCCTCCCCTAGCAATTTATACTCCGTATTTTTAAATTTTTGTCATTCTAGAAGGTGTATGGATTCTGCGTGACCAAACTTTTACCCCCACTTTCATTGTTTGATGGGGCACGCAGCTGGACCCCGCAGTTTGTCGGCTTGTCGTTTGGAATGGGAATACCCCTTTTGTCCTCAGTAGGGCCGTTACTGCATACGGCCCGTTTGGAAAATGGGCCAGACTCCCCCCATTGTTGGGTCCATTTATAGCAATCATAGCCCTTCACGTGACAGGCGATCAGCGCGCAGTGCCGCAGACAACCTCTGCCACAAAACTTCAACCTAATTACTCCTCTCTCTCTCTCTTTTCTTTTCAAACCCAAAATAAAGTCACAACTTTGGAATAGAAAATGAGATCTTATGTTCACAAATGGTAACAAAATTTTGAAACTTATTATTACCTCATGTTTATAAGAATTTGTTAAGTTTTCATTTCCATGACACTAAACCATGTTACTTTTTAATTTACATGACACATTGACACTAAACTATGTTCTAAGAATTATTGATGTTTTATTAATCTAAATTAACTTGGAAAAAAATATCAATATTTTAAATTAATAAATAATAATCATACTAATCTCTCTATTCCTAATTAAATAAAATCTATACTCATTATTTATGCGATTAGATTTGATGGTGTAAATTATTTGACCGGTCAAACTATACTAGACCGGGTCTAGAATAGTTTGCTTGATTTGATAAAGTAAGAAAGGTAAAAACACGCAGATTGACCGGTAGGACCTTAGGTGGAACACCTGTAGCCCAATTTGTATTATAACGGAGAATGCACGGGTGCTCTTACAAGGGAGTTTAGAGAGAATGAATTCGGATCCCTCTTTCTGAGGTTTACATGAGTATTTATACTAGGCTAAGGGGGACAAGACCACGTGCGCTCACGTGGGAGCACGTTGCTTATGTGGTGCGAGACGACTATCCCTGAGCTGCCTTGTCGTCTTGCGAGGAGGATTTCTTCCCTTGTAGCGTTCTGGCTTGGAAATATCCCTCCAGCATCTCCATTGATTCCTCAGCAATGCCAACCACTACAGTCCAAGTCCTTTTGGACTCTTCCTGTCGACACTCTCCAATCTCTAAAAACTGCACCGGTTGGTTCTTGAGGGTTGACTTGGCCAACTTCGAAGGATGAATTTAGACAATGGGATAGTTCGACCGGTATACCATTCGAAGTATACCGGTCAACCTTTCGGCCAACCCTTTATCCTCCTGGCTGACGATCCAAATTATTCTTTCAAGTTTTACCTCTTTGACCGGTCAACTATCTGGTCCAGTCCTTTGACCGGTTGTGGGTGAAATACACCCATCAAGATTTATTTCATTTTTTACCTATTATGAATATATTAATAAATAATACTCCCTCCGTCCCGAAAAACATGGGAGTTTTGGTTTTGGAGAGGAATTTAAGGGAAATGTATTTTGGTATTGAATTTCCAAAAATGTCCTTTAATGTGATGGATAAAAGTATGATTTGATGGATAGATTATTAGTAAAAAGGTATGATGTGATAGTTAGGATATGAAAAGGTAAGGGGTAAAATTGACTTTTTAATAGAAATTGGAAGTATTTTTTGGAACAAATGAAAAAAGAAAGGAGAAAAGTTTTCTGGGACAGAGAGAGTAATAAGAATAATAAGTAAATAATAATAACAAGAGTAACAACAACAACAACAATTATAGCAATTATAGTAAGAATAGTATGTAAAATATAAACAGATAAAAATTTCAAGTTTTTCAAGTTTCTATCAGTTTCTTCTGGTTCATTCCAAAAAAATTTAGTTTCATTTAATTTTTTCTAATTTCTTCCTATCTTTTTAGTTTCTTGCAACACCCACTTTTTTCAGTCATATAAAACAAGTTCTTATTTACTAAAATATTTTTAAAATATTATTTTATCTCATTAATATTTCATGGGATTTATTTTATTTTTTGAAATGTGGTAAACATTTAATAATCGGATATCCTTAATCGGACACGGATAATATTCGTTAAAAACGATTGCAGATATTTCTTTTTTAAACAGATTCGGATGCAGACTATAATCTAGACGCAAGAAATAACTTGTAAGTAGAAAATTAGAGATAGTATTTGCAGCCTTTAACCACTCGAGTGGTCTTGAGCTATGAGCGATGATACCATTGGAGTGCAGTGCAGAGTAGTAGGCGAAGAGGGAGGGAGGGAGGGAGGGGGGGCCTGGCGCGCGGAGGGGACCGGTTGGAGAAAATGATAATGGCCCCTGAGGCGCACAAACCAGACAGGTGGGCCCTCCACCTCATCTTGTCTTCTCCCCCCCACCCCCACCTACTTTCCTCCATCATCATCATCATCATCGTCGTCGTCGTCACCCCACCCCCCATTTCCCCCCTCCTCCCCATCTTTCTTTTCACCCTTCTTCAACCAGCCTTTCAATCAATCTGCATTTCTCACTGTCAAGAAACTCCCAAGATTCGCTTTTTTTCCCCCCAAAAAAGAAGGAAGATATGGATGCTACTACCCTCGAATTGATGGATGGCACCGGAGTAGGAGGAACTGCGGGTTCTGGGAATTCAATGTCGACTGTGTCTGAATCATATTCTTCTCACCCGGAGGAGGACTCCGATCTGGAATTGGGTCTCGGCCTGAGCCTTGGCGGCGGTGGTGGTGGGTTGAAGAAGTCAAAGATTGGTGTTTGGGGCCAATGCCCCGCCGGGAGGAATAGGATATTGACGGCGGAGGATTTTCCCTCCGGCGGATTTTCCAAGTCTTCTTCATCTTCTTCCTCCGGTTCCTCTGCAACTAAAGGTAACCATGCTTCATGTGGGTCCAAGAGAGCTGCCGAGTCTTCTTGTTCCCCTCCCCGTGCTGCTCTCAGGTATTTATCCCTTTCTGTTTTCTTTTTCGTTTCTTTTTCTTTATTTTTGCATATAAATATGATTTATTGGTTTGCTCTGCATATTTATTTTCCTTATTATTTTGGATCATGAAATGTGTTTTTTTAAACTGTAATTGAGAAATGGGACTTTTCTTGGCCTGTCTCTGTTGTTGTGCTGTGTAGTATAGCTTTGGTTTCTTGACTCATGAGGAATTTAGGGCCTAAAATGAGATAGTGATTTTACAATTTTCTCCCCTCCAATCTTATTGCTCATGCACTGAACATGTTTGGTATGATCATCTATAGATAGAATGATCCACTTAGATGGAAATGGATGAAGTGCTGAGCCCTAAGGATCTGTTTGGATGAGGGGTTTTGGAGGGCTTTTCTATGTCTTGATACTTATCTTTAATAGTTTCTTGAAAACTGATAGATTGAGCATATATCACATTCCAATAATCATTTATTCACTATCAGAAACATTCTATAAAGTGTATATCAAGATATAATCTAAGGTCTCCAAATCTTCTATCATTATTTCAATGATGTTATGCTATGGCTTTAACTCTGCCTACTAAATTGCCAGATTTCTTCGTTTTCTTGAATCGTTCTTCGATGAATTTTCTTAAGCAGTCAGGTTGTGGGGTGGCCGCCTATCAGAACATATAGGATCAGCAGCCTAGTCAGCCAGGCAAAATCCTTAGCCGTTGAAGAAGATTTCTCTGAGAAATGCCAAAACAAAGTCCACGCCGCGGACGTAAACACATCTGATGCCAACAAGAGTTCCTTTTTTGTGAAGGTCAACATGGATGGAGTTATGATTGGGAGGAAAGTTGACCTCGCTGCTCATTCCAACTACAACAGCTTAGCTCGCACGCTGGATGACATGTTCTTCATCAAAACTACAGGTGCCGAATGTGAGTCAATGGTCATTCCTTCCCTACTCTTTTTCTGGGAATTTTACATAGGAAGAGAGGAAAAATACATTTCATTTTCCTCTCTTATTATCAATTCTTGTTTTTGGGTTGTGAAGTGAAGTTAGAAAGGAAAGTTTTTGAATTCTCAAACCCACATTTTGTTAACGTTCTAATTAGCATTCTACACTGTCAGATTTAATCCCCGAAGAGAAAAAGGCCACGACAGAAGAAGCCCCGGGGTTGCTGGATGGATCATCTGAATTTGTGCTTACTTATGAAGATAAAGAAGGAGATTGGATGCTTGTTGGAGATGTTCCATGGGAGTATGTCTCATTTCTTATTATTACTCACTTAAAGCTTGTAATTTTAATATTACCACATAATATGATCCTCGAGTTTTTTTTCAATTACACAAACACGGAGTATGATCCTTGATTGATTGAAAAAGTTCATTCTTTTCTGTAATATCAAGAAATCTCAAAGGTTATCTGGCTATAAACCCAAGAGCTTATCACCATACTGATCACAACGCTTTGCTATTAACAGGATATTTGTATGCTCAGTGAAGAGGTTGAGGATCGCGAGAAAATCAGAGGCCAACGGGCTGGGTATGCACACAAATGAACAATTTTTTTTCTTCTTTCAATTTGACATGAACACAAGAACAACATTTTCTTGATTTTCTTGGTTTTCGATCTCTTTTTCTCTCTTTCTGAATTGCAGGTCCAAGTTTGTGCCATGAAAGGAATGGGGGAGAGGCATGAATAAAATGTGCAACAACTGATTGATTGACTCACACTTGATGAAGGATGCCTACCCTTTTTTTCCCTTGAAATCTCACGGCTTCTCTTCTATTTGATTGTTAATTTTTTTAACGCACTTTTTCTCTTAGTTTTATACATTTCCACGCTATCCCCCTAGCGTCGGGGGGAATATACGAATCCTCAGACATCATATGGATGAACACATAATGGGAGTATTTTTAGTGTGTTTTGCCAAGTGTTATTGTAAAGTTTTTGGGGTTAAGAACAGTATGAAAAGAGGAATGAATGAATGCTGTTTTGCAGAGTTGGTTATGTATCTGAACCTCAATCTTCTTTATGAATGGCTATCACTTAGGGTGTGTTTGGCTTTGAAGGGATTAGAGGTGAGTTGAAATGTGTTCTCCCTCTCTCCCTAATTCAAACCAAACACATCTTTAGGTCATATTGACTAAATCTGGTTTGGTGAATTAAATTCCAACTAAAAATTTAGACTTTATATTTGGCATGCATTTATGGTACTTCCTATGGGCTCAAGGTCCATGATGAAAAACTTAAAGCCTTCCTATTTTCAGTACTATTCAATCTATCACGACAATTTTTGTTTGCGTGTATTTTTTTATAAGTCATTTAACAAAATAAAATATTCTTTTTTATTCGATTTTTCTTTAGCTCATTTCGATTAAATTTGCGATTTTCTGTTTTCCCAAACTAGCTCTATTAGTTGAAGCCTTATACTCCGTATTTCTCATTGGAAATCGTTTCCCTATTTTTGACTTAGGGTAAGGTCTGAGTACTCAAAACCTTTTCCCAACCATACTTTTGTATAATTCAAGTCATTCATTCAATTAGTCAATTGAGAGTGAAAAAGTCAAAAAAAACTTAACGGATAAGTTTGACTCATGACAACGATGATTGACAATTATGCTTATCATTGGATCCTTTCAATTAGCACTAATTGACCACATTTTCTATTTGAGATTAAAACTGGAAAATTCTATTTGTACCTCACTTTTGTACTCTAAAGGTTTGTCCTGACACGAAATGGAAGTGTAATAGTGGCCGGAATTTTTTAGGGGGTAAGATTACTCCTTCCGTCCCAATTTTGATTACAATCTTTGTTCTCCCACATCTAGATAATTTTTGTTTATTTGTGTGTTTTCATTGATTATTTGATAAAATAAAATATTATTATCCTTTCTTATTTTGTAGAACTTTTGACATAGTTTTTTATTAAGTAATTTTTATTTTTTTATTAATGTAACAATTTGTAAATAAAATAATTTCAAAAGATACAGAATTTTATCTCATAAATTTCAATTTGTAATCAAAATGGAGACTAACTAGAGTTACTGTTGGAAATTTTAGACTTTGAAGAGCTAAGACTGGACAAGTGAAGTGAATGAATGGCTGTCTATATGACACCACAACTGCACTGTCCACCGCCACCACATCATCGTCATCTCTCTCCCTTCAAATCTCTCTCTCTCTCTCTCTCTCTGTGGACGCCATGGCAGCCCTGCACACTACACTTGCTCTCTCTCATCCATCTTCATCAAATTGTCATAAACCTCCTCTGTCTGCATCTGGTAATTTCATTCATTCTGTGTCTCTATTCATATATTCAAATCTTAGATTTTGTGTCCACTCCATTTCTGTATCAAGTTGCAATCTTTTCTTCACCTTCGTTTAATCTGTTTCCTTTTAATGTTATAAACTCTTGGATTAGTTTTCTTCTTCTCATTTTGATTTGCTTTCCATTTCATTTGCATTTTGTGACTGATTTTTTCTGCTTTGACATCTAATGTTTTCATGCCAAATATGAGACTGTTATATTAGATATGATGTGAAAGTTGTGCAGAAGGATATAATGGACTTTTCATAGCCTTAGGTTTGCTAAATTTGGAAATGTAAAGAATTCAATAGGACAGATAATAAATGATTAGGGTAAAGAATCCAAGGTGAGGAATGGAGTTTGCAGTTTAGGTTTGTTTAGAAGAAATAATATCTAAGCTTGAATGAATGGTTTTGGCTAAGAGATGGATTCTAATTTTTTAACCAAACAAATGCCAAGTGCCAATGGAAGGCAAGTGTGTCTATGGGTTAAAGATTTGTAGATAAAAACTAATTAGTGATTGAAATTTGATATACATTATGTCTAGATTCATCAAAAGTTGAATTAATATCGATATACATTATGTCTAGATTCATTCAACGTTTGCTGTATTACAATTTACTAAGTATCGGTTAATTGTAAATTGAGAGAATAAGCTCTAAAGCGAATGTCAAATAGTACCGTTACGTTGGATCACGTTTGTTTCAAAACGGGGAGGGAAATGCTTAAACACTGAAACCAATGTAAAACGTAGCCTCTGAGGGTCCGTTTTGATGAGCGAAAGAGAATTGATATGATATGAGTTGTGACATGTGGTGCAGGTATTGTTATAGCTAGACTCATCCCTGTTCATCAAAGCTCTTCTTCTTATTCTTCTTCCTCCTTCGCCACCACCCTCCAACCGCGCGTGCGGGCCCACAAACGGAATCCTAGAAAAGCATTAACAACAAAAACAATGATGGTGGTGGCGGCGAAAGTGAAACCGTCGATCCAGTTCATACAAGGAAGGGACGAACAGACAGTGCCAGACGTACGGCTCACCCAATCCAAGGACGGGACCAACGGCATGGCCATATTCAGCTTTGACCAGCCCTCCGTGTTTGACTCGTCCAAGGAAGTGGGAGACATCACCGGGCTTTACATGATCGACGAAGAAGGCGTTCTTCGTTCGGTGGATGTGAATGCCAAGTTTGTCAACGGGAAGCCCGCGGGGATCGAAGCTAAGTACATAATGAGGAGTCCGAGCGAGTGGGACAGGTTTATGAGGTTCATGGAGCGATATGCCGAAGCTAACGGCTTGTCTTTCATCAAGAAATGATGAAGAGGACTTCCAGTGTCTGTTGGGTTTGTACATTTTGTTCTCTTACATCTTCAAGAATGGAAAAACACTGCTATGGCTTTTGACAACATTGTGTATTGTGTTGGGTTTTCTTCCAATTGTTTTCAGTTCTTCCAATGTGTACCAGTGTTTCTGTTGGTTTTTGAACAAATAACCAAACCAAATAGACTTTTAGATTAGAGGTAAAAAGTGAACAGAGACAAGGAGAAGAAAGAGGCAATCACAGTTGAAGCAGAAACCAAAACCAAAGTAGACCAAAGGGAGCTTTTTCTCATCAATTTCTTCTTCTTCTTCATCTTCTTCTTCATCATCTTCTTCTTGTTCTTGATCTTGTTCTGGTCTGGAGGTTGCTGGGTTTGGAAGGTTAAGCCATTGATGGAAATGCGAATGCCGGGATCTCTGAGCCTCACATGGCTCCCAAACAAGAGGGAGTGGTTCACTCCTTGAATGTTGTTGTTGATGTATATGTTTACGCACCCCCTTGACTCGCTTGTGATCATCGACGACGCTCCCGTGTTCGTCTTCGTCCCTTCCATCTTCACCCCTCCCATCGGCGGAGCCTCCGTGTGGGTCCCACCCATCTTCACGCCGTCTTTGAGCGGCGACGGAGGCGCCTCCCTGTGGGTCCCTTCCTTGCATCTTATCCTTGGCATCACCGGACTCTTCAGTTTTTGAAGTGTTTTGTAGGTGATGTTGAATTCAGTACAATAACAAGTTTATATCAGTAGAGACTGGAGGGTGCCTTTCTCCTTCCACAAGTAAAGCAAGCTGCGGCAGTAAATGACTTTTTGGCATTTAAAAAAAGTAATTTGGCCGATTAAATATAGTTTTAAATAATTAAACGCTACGAAAACTTGATATATCAAAACTATATTTTAGAATGAATTTAATTTTATTAAATTTACATTATACCTAAATTACATACTTTTCACAATTTCTGATTAAAGTGTTACACAAATTGACGAAAAAAACAAATTGCAACAATTTTTCAGGGAGAAAACAACTAGAAGGTGCGTTTTTCAAGTCCAATGGAACACCGTGGGGCCATCAAATTCTGGTGTCACCAGAATACCTGTGTCATTTAAACCGTACCGTATTATTTATACTTCTTAATTTAAACACCATAGAATAATGTTAGGTACACACCACTTCGTATCCCATTTTACACACCCAAACCAAACCGGAGTTGTGCACCTCGCTTTTGTGGCATATCTTAATTTGGTTGCGTTTATTTTTTTAAAAAAATCAAGCGGTGATCCATTTTTATTCGAGGTAATTGCACCTTAGATTTATTGAACTCTCAATTTCTCCACTTTGAAAAATACTACAAACATTTTGGTTTAAAGAATGGATTGGGTAGTCCAAAATAGTTATAGAGTGCATAAATTTCAACTAAACAATTTTACTTTTTCTTTAATTTCGTGAAAAAGCCAACTAGAAGTTTAATTTGGGAGGGAGCGGTAAATGCAACAACACCTCAAGGGCCCCACTCTACTGGCTGCAGACTCTTTGTTTGGATTGGAAGTTTGGAAGAATTAAAAACATGAATGCTACCATTACTTCAGTGTGGTGTTTAAGAGCATTATGATAAAAAACCAAACAGATCTTAACCAAGAATACACAAAATCTCAACTCAAAAGAACACAATCAAACATGTTAGAGAAGTGAAGGGGTACCAAATTTAGTTCCCCTCTAAGTGATTGTCATGGCATTTCCCCATAAGAGCCACTTCATTATTACTCCCTTGTTTGGCTCAGCACAAAAACAAGGGAAAAAAAGTTCTTGCAAATAAGACAAGAACTGTGTATCGTTTCGCGTCGTTCAAACTGAACTCATGGATAAGAATCAGCAGACACCTTTTCGCTAACTGTTGAGCCGTATTGAGGGCCTCCTTTACGATATTGAATGAGATACTCCACTGGATAGCCCTTCAGCTTTTGTGGGGCAACCCCAAGATCCTTGAACTTCAGTGCTGCAAAACAATGGGAGCTGTTGGCTTCAAATGGTGAAAATGAGAATCACATATCAAAATAAGGGTCCCAACTACCCTAGCAACAATTTTTTAATCCGCGTGCAAAAATGATACTCTCTGTCCATTAATTTCTTTCCCACTTTCCTATTTGGGCCGTACACAAATTTCTTTCCTGTTTCCTATTTTTGGCAAAAAACTTTTAATGAATGTGCCATTATACCCCTACTTTTCATCTACGCTATTCACTTTATTTCATCACATCGAGGACAAACATGGAAAGTCTTTATATTTTTAAAATTTTCTTAGTCTTCGTGCCAAGTCAAAATGGGAAAGAAATTGTTGGACAGAGGGAGTAGTACACTACTGCATCCCTTTCTCTCATAGCAGTCCATTAACTAAGTGGTGTGTTCGGTTGGAAAATGAAGTGAAACCTAATAGAATGACTAGCTTGTTGTCCATATTTATGTCAGTTTTGCATGTTACTTTTAATGCCTAGAAGTTGATTGGGATAGGCTTGTTAAATTATGAAAACTTTAATGACATCCATAAAAATACATTAGAAAAAAAAACCTAAAAGATGGTAAGTAAGAAATTGAGGGAGTATCTTTATGGAAAGGAGAGCGAAAATGATTTCATAAATAATGATTATTTACTAAAATAAGGAGGGCACAAACCATATTTTGACACAACTGTATCTGTGGTCAAGGCTTCAATCATATCCAGGTTAAATATTGAAGGAGTTGGCAAGGGAAAGGGAACTTTGTTGAGCAGTAATTCTCGAGGAGTGGCAATCGCCTGAAAACAAGAAAACAAAAGATGCATAAAATGGGGTGCCCTAGAAGCTAAAAATATGAAAAAACATTAGCTTATGTATGTAAACTCACCTTGGCAATGGGGAAAGGGACCTTAACATAGCGAGGCCATTCGCGGATCATGTCATACATCAGCTCTGCCTGCAGCAATAAGCTCACCTCTGAGATTAATTTGCATTCGGGAAGAAAGAATGAAGGGTTGGAGAAAAGAAGAGTGTGGGAGTGTGAGTTGAGGACTCACCAAATCGTGTACAGTGAAAATATCAGGCCCACCGAGTTCATATACTTTTCCCATGCTGGTACCGTCATCCTTCAGTGATGCAACAACTGCAGATGCAACATCAGCAACATATACAGGTTGGATTCTGCAAGAACATGTAAGAGCAGAGGGGAATTAAAAAGCTCTTAAAGTTATCAGCTATGGCAATGAGAGACATTGTATGGTAACATACTTTGTAGAGCCATCTCCAAATAACGGGATAAAGCTATACTTCTTTGCGAAATGTGCCCAAGGATTTAGAATTCTATCCTCAGTACCAATCATCACAGCTGGCTTCAATATTGTTGCCTGGAGACATAAGGACCAACAACATGCAAATTGTAGTTTGCATGGTTTAATTATTTCATTTTTTTGATAATCATAGTAAAATGTTTACTAATCATCCAAAAGATGATTAATTATTATTTTTTGTTTCGGGCACATAATGGACTAAATAAAAAAAGACATGTTAAACTTCCCTTGATTCTTAGTCTCCACGAAGTGTTTGGGCAATAAATGCAGCAATGCATCTAGGGTCTAATGGAAACAACCTCTCTATTATTAAAGGACAGGATTAAGACCGTGTACATCTTGAGCCCAAACCCCAACAGAGTTGAGATTATACTGGGCTGTTGTAATCATCTAGAAGATAGTGAGAATAATAAATACAACTCTAACGGTTTGTTTGGTTGGATAGATTTTGGCAAGAGAGAAAATGGAAGGAGAGAAGTGAGACGGGGAAAGTAAATTTACACAGTTTGGTTGTGTGAAAGCCTGAGACTAAAGGGTTGTAAACGAATCAAAATACCAAAGTATTTGAATTCGTATTTGATAACTTTTCTCAGTTTTCTGAATACAAATTCAAATCCGAATGTGAAACGAATTTTTAATGAGATTAGTATTTGTATTTGATTGACTTTCGAGTAGTTATTAAATCTAAAACGAATAATAGAATGGCCATAATTTCAATGACGGAAAAAGCCGGAGGAGGGCGTGGTTTGAATTTACAAACTTAGCCTAAGAGAGTAACTGATACGTAGTACAATTGATTGTTCTATAAGTTGAGGGCAAGTTTATCTTTAAAAACGATATTCATTCTCTCTGATTTTCTCTCCTTTCAATCCAAACATCCTAAACATATGCTCATACTTTCTTCTCTTACTTCTTTCACACGACCTTCTCCCTTATCTCTCTTCAAGTCTCCATCCATACAAAGGCTGATTGTGCCCATCTTGATACTAACAAAAGAATGTCCATCTTGACACCATGTACAACAAACCCGTAAAGATAGAATTTTGATGAAAATAGAGATGCAGGAAATATATGGGCAGAGAACAAGCAAAATGGTTCATTGGAACATCCAAGGAGAACCCACACCAAGTACAAAATTTACCTCAGGAATTTCACGTAAAATGGCTTCCTCAGCTGCAGCTTTAGCTCGAAGCATTCTGGATGGGGATGTTGGAGATGCACCCAAACATGAAATCTGTATAAATCTCAAGATTCCTCCATGTTCTTTGGATATCTGCAAATACAAAAGAAGCACAATTTGCATCAATTAATTAATATAGAGATAACTAATGAAAAATTCAGATGACACTATGACAGGAGTACAGGACAATGCCGATATAAATGTATCAGCAATGCTTGTAGAGAAAAATAAAGTGTTTCACGATTTCAAGTTGCAAATCCCACCTAAAGCCTCAGTAATCATATTCTTCCAACACAACCTCAAATGTTTAAAAGGTCAATCATTATAGAATTAGAAATGAATTTTTCATCATTC